CATTAAATTAATTAGATGGATATGATATGGCTTATTTTTTACGTGGATATAATGTGTCATCCATGTCAGATCGAGCGAGGAACACCGGCTGATATAAGAGTTTAAAATTTCTATTTTGTTTGAGTTGAGGTGTCTAGTTGAAACTTTGGAGAGTTGAAGGGTCCAATTTACAATCTGGTCAATTATAAGGTTCCACTAAACCCTTTTGCCTTCATCGGAAGAAAATTAAGGCAAAATTCTAACACGCCTTAAGTTGTCGTGTGAGGTAATTTTTCCATTATTAAGTTGGATTTACTACTAATTACTTGAATTAACAACTCTGCAATTTTTTTTAGAGGAACTTTCGCATATAGCTACTCAAAAATAGCCTAATTACTCTCCATAGCTATAGTTTGATAATGACAACTCGTAACTACATGTTATAGGGAGGAGAGAGGCGAACGAGACTGAGAGAGAGGAGAGAGGCGAGCGAGAGAGGGAAGAGAGTGGGAGAGAGGTGAATTGTATATGTATATCGGTTAGATAATTGTATATTATACATATGCATTTGTATATATGACAAGTGAGATTGGGAGAGGGAGGAGAGAGGCGAGCGAGATTGGGAGAGGGAGGAGAGAGGTGAGCGAGAGAGGACAATAATTTGTATAATTCGCAAGTACGTTTGTATAATTCACGTGTTTTTGTATAATTGAGTGATATAAAGTCTGGAATTCTACAAATATAATAAAACTCGAAATAAAAAATTGATACAAACATAAATATATGAACTTTAAACAATTATACAAAATATATTATACAAATTACATTATATATAAATCATATTATACAAAATCAAAAAACTACACGTTTATACAAATTTTAAAATGTTATACACAAAAAGATTGAATGTATATGATGACAAAACTGAAAAATCAAAGGAAATCGTCGTCATATACAAATACAAATCAAACAAAGAATTGTTAGCTGCGAATTATACAAATGTGACGAATTATACATATACAAACGTGACTAATTATACAAACTCAAGTCAACCCACGTAATTAATGTATAATGTTAGTCGCGAGTGGTAATTATAGCAAACTATAGCTATGATGAGTAATTAAGTACTATAAGTTTGCTTAACCGCGTAATTTTCCGTTCTTTTTATTATATTATTAGAACAGAGGCCAAAATGTCAAATAAAAATAAATAATATAAATGGACAATTCATATGATTGTAATCATTTAACTGTCACACTTTTTTATTCTTAACTTTCAGTTGGCAACCTAATTTATGACTACCTTTTCATTGAAACATATCTCAATGGTGAGTCGGCCAAATGTTTAAATCCAATGGACAATAGGTGTGTGGAGGTCAACTTAGCATTGAAATATGTTTTAATACAAATGGAGTGATGGTTTAGGTAGTTAAATGAACAATGTATAGTTGAGGTATGAAACTCTTATTCCTAATTGACAATAGGCATGTGAAGGCCAACTCAACATCGAAGTGTGTTTTAATACAAATAGAATGATGGTTAGGTAGTTAAATGAAACAATGGATAGTTGAGGTAGGAAACTTGCGAAGAAAGTGATAGTATAAGTGTATTTAACAACAACTCAACCGAAATGGGGCAGCTATATGATGTTTGCACTATCCATCTCGCTCCATTCTTTTATTCCTGTGAAGTCTGACCTGTTTCATTCCGATATTTGATAAGTTGGGGTTCTCTAAGACTAATTTACATATATTTTCTACTGATATATAAATCTATATACAGTCTAAAAAAACTTCTTGCAGAAACAACTTCTACTATAGGTGAGTGTTTTGTTATTGCATTCTGTTTTTTTTTGTTAAGTCTCATGGATTCGAGAATCTTTTATTTGATTTTAGGTCTATCTCATTCCTGTTAGAACCTTCAATTATCATGGTTCACACCTATACACTTGCACATTTAGAGATCTAAGTAGGACACAACCAAACCATCTCAAACGACCTTTCTCATCATGTAAACTCAACTTGCACCTCCAAATGGATATGATGAGATCATTTTTCTTTTTGTTTATTCTCGTATGACTACACATCCATCTTGCTATTTGCATTTATGTGACACTCATCTTGTGCAAGTGTTGAGGCTTATATGTGACAAATTTATAAATGCTTTTCGAAAGAAAGGGGAATCAAGATAACAACTACAATTTCCATACTAAGTGGCTGGAGAGTGTAAATTTTATGCACTTGTGAAGTTGACTGGGATTAGGTCAGTGTGTAGGTTGATGTGGAGTTTGGGGGAATTATGGCTGGCTGCTCATGGTAGTGTGTTGCTCCAAATGATAATAAATCTCGTAGCTTTTGATGGCTTCATTGATTGAGTTTACATTGTGCAATCCTAAAATTTTATGAATCACTCAACTACCCTAATTGATCACCTAGCATGCTCATATCATTAGTAGTTACTTAAAAGGTTTAATTCCTACGCAAATAGGTGAGAGACCGTAAAAAACATTCATATTTAAAAGTTTTTTCTCTCTTACATTTCTCCTGGTGAACACAACATTTGACACTTCAGAGCTTTCTTTGTGGAAATAATTTTGTTGAGCCAAGATATTTATCTTGTAATGCTGAGTCATAGTTAGTTACTGATAGAGTTAGTTACTGATTACTATTAGCTGGATTGATTAGCTGTCAAATTAGTTAGTTAGTTGAATAGATTATTCATAATTGTATATATACACACTTCTATCATTGAATGCTGTTTAGTTTTGATTCTCAGAAATCACTGCTCACATTGTATCAGTTCTTCAGTTTCTTTTCTTCTTCTCATTGCAAGAAGATCTAAGCTCCCATTAATGGAGATGAATTCTTAGATTTGATAAACTTCTCTTTACTCCAGTATATATGACTTTTATAGGAAATATTCACGTTAATATGCTTGTCCATTTCTGTTTTCTTGCTTATTTTCTTTCACTAAAGACGTTTGATACTTCAGAGTTTGCCTTGATGAATGTTTTCTCTTTTCTTCAGTATAGGACTTTAATACTGGGAGTTTATGGACCAGGTAATTTGCAGCTTGGACCAAATTCCTCAATCCTAATAAAACCTAATCCCTTATTTGTGAAAAATATAAAGGTAAATTGTGTAATTTCTTAGCCTGTTTTTTATATATTCTCTAAGCTCGTAGTTTGACAAAAAAATGTGTGTCCTCCTACAAGGTGGAAGATATGGATGGTGCAAACAATAGACAAACGGTGTATGGGTTCTATGAAAATCTGTCTATGGAGTGGGCAACTTGAACTATGGAGTTGTACAGGTCAAATAACTATTACCATGTTAAATTTTCACTTAAGATAGTACTATTAAGAGACAATATGGGTATAAGCTTTCAATTTTTTGGGGTGGGGGAAATATTTTCCTTCTTGTTTAGTTCTGTGAAAAACAGGTCCGCTAACATGATAAATACTAAGTGTTTCAATAAATTAGGGTAATGTATCAAAACTAATATTTGAAAAGATATATTATACACGATAAAATTGTAATGTATCATAAATGTGAAACAAATGAATTGTACATTTATTTTAGAATCAAAATCAACTAGATACATTAAAAGAAAAAGCAACAAAAATTAAAAAAATCAATAATTTGATCTGCTAAAAGCAAAAAAAAAATAAAAAAATGAAAAAATCCTTCCACACTTTTTTCTTTGCTCTATATCAATTCTTGTAGCTTTTTTCACTTTCAACAATGACGATGTCCCATGGATCTCGATCCAAATCCCTTAACGGAGCCATCAACAACTCTTGATAAAATTGTGATATATCATAATGATGAAACAAAGGCAGTATACATTAATTTAAGAAATAAAAACAACTTGATACATTAAAAAACTGAACCCGTATATCAGAAAAGGAAGAAGAACAAAAAATTGGAAAAAAAATCATTAATTTGATCTACTGAAACAAAAAAAATGATAAAAAATTCTTCTAAGTTTAAGATCTTGAATTTTATAAACATGATTGAGTATTTTTAGGTTTCCATGGTGTAGATCCAGGATTTATGGGTTAAGTCATAGTTATGAGATTCGACGAAGAATCCGATTAAGAGATTTGGGCTGGATTTCCATATGTTGAAAGTGAATTTTATTGAGTTTGTATCGGGTTTGGTGCCGTCATCACATATGAGGATGGATCAGGTGGTGATAGATGGGTGAGGGTGGAAACGAAGGTTGAGGCTGGAGGAAGGTAGACAGAGGATAGTGATTGGTGTGGTGGAGGAGGAGGAGAGGGAGAGGTTTTGGGAGAGATCTGAGAGGAATTGTGGCGGAGTTTAAAAAAATGAATAAAACAAAAGATGAAGAAGTCTTTTCAATAACTTGCAATCGATAAGTCGGAAACAAAAAATATTTGAAATTCAAAAATAGAGTGATGGAGATAATTGGTAATACCATGGAGTGATTTTAGGTGTGAAAAAAGAAAAAAAAATCATGGGGTGATAGTTTACAGTGATGTATCCGGAAAAGTGAGAGAAATTGTGGAAAAGAAGGATTTTTGTAATTTTTTGGAATGGCATGGAATAATAAAAATAGGGTAAAAAAATTATGTGTAGATGCTTAAATGAAGTACAAATTACTTTGATTTAATCATACATCTTGTTAGGTTATTTTTCCTAAATTTTATAGTAGAAACTGAAAATAATAATAGTTGTTACGAAAAAAACTTCTCTAATCAAGCAAGTAAGTCAAACAAATCACTAATCAATTTATTAATATAACTAGGAACAAAATACAACACCGCAAGCTCGACTAAACCTAATCATCCAGACCACAAGTAACAAGGAGACGGATTCTCAAATAGTACACGACTATTTTAACAAACGAATCAAACATCAAACAAACGAAGATCACTAATGAATTCAAGTAACATCACTAAATTTAGAAACAAAACAAACAAATATTCGAAATGCATGACTTTGAATCTAATTATTACAACGCATGAAGTTCAATATATTAGGAATCAATATATGTTTAATCAACATTTTCTGGAGGTGCTTGTGTAGAGGAAGAAACATCGTTTTCCAGCTGCGCTGTCAATTCAAAATCAACAGAGTTCAACCAAAGCTCGAGTTCATTCACCTCCTCTTCATTAAATTTCATAATAGATTCCCATATTTTTTTCATGTCAGTTTCATCCATGCCTGATTTTGAATTAGATAGACCCCTTTCTATGATATCAAGCTCATCAAACTCAACTTTTAGTTCCTTCACTTTGTTTCGAGAATTTGCAATAGCAATACGATTACTTTCACTTGCCTGTGTATTTGGACTTAAAAATCGATTGACAACCGCATCCATTGTAGGGTGAAAAAAAGAGTAGGGTTTATCGGTTGGAGAAAATAATGTTATCCCCACATCAACATCGTATTTCCCAACCAATTCACTAGCTTTTTTATATAATGTCGATCGGCGCTTTGAAAATGCTGTGTATCGAGCATCTTCATTTTCTATTTTGACCATTGAAATCTTTTGACGTCCTAAAGTCTTTTTTTCCGCCATGACTCAATGTTTGAGGAAATATGATTTTAAAAAAATAAGTTTATTGATAAAAACACTCAAGAAAATGTGGTGCTTATAAAAATGAAATAAGATGATTATTTATACAAAAAATTCTTTATAGTTGTAATAAGTTTCTAGCCAAATAGTACAATAAAAGGTAGATTTCTTGCATCATGCTAAAAATTATAGTAACAAAATAAATTTATATGGTAAGAAAATCAAGTATCTAGTCAAATAAATAAATATTTCAATATGATTAGTAAATTTTACCAAATTTTGGTAAGCTACTGAGAATATATTTTTCAAAATAAAAGAGTAAAGCTCATTTTCTCCCTTAAGATTTTGAATTTGAGAAAAAATACCTCTTCACTTTTTGAATAAGATGATAAATGAGAAAAGTACACTAAATAGCATAAAATGTTAAACTCACATACCGCATTTCTTAATAATTTTAAATATACACCGTTGGCACAAAAAATTTACACTGCATAGCCTCCCGCATAAGGTTACATATATATGTATATTAATATAATATTCAATTTAATCCATTAGGTTGTCTGCTTGATTTCCTTATATGATTTCTTGTTTTAAATTTATTTGTGCTCCGAATTTCTTTATCTCCACTCCAATTTAATCCTACCAATAAAATGAACAACGTAAGAATAATCCATAAAATTTATGCTCAAAAACGACAATGAAAAAACTAAATATGAGATAAATAATGATTAAATACTTTATTATTTTTATTTCTTTCTTCCTAACAATTAAGAATATTTTCTTTTTCTCTTTCATTTTCTTCGGTTAACTAAAAATTTTGTTTTTATTTTTCTGTTTGTTAGTTCCTTTTTGTTTTGTTTTGTTTTATCTTAATTTTAAAAATATTTTTCCTTTAGATTATCTTTTAAATATTTTTTTCGTTAGATATACTCTTATAGTATCATTGATTAATAAGTAATCTATGAATATAAATCTTAATGATACCACAAATATATATAGTATCAATTAAGCAAAAATATCACTTGGGAAATCTATTGTAATTATTCAGGGGCATCAATGTAAGGGGTATGTATTTGTAATGAATTTGTATTTATAGAATATTTAGTTAGTTTCCCCATTAATGTATTTCAATAGATTTGTTTTGACCAAACATATATATATATATATATATATATATATATATATATATATATATATATATATAGTATCAATTAAGCAAAAATATCACTTGGCGAATCTATTGTAATTATTCAGGGGCATCATTGTAAAGGGTATATATTTGTAATTAATTTGTATTTATAGAATATTTAGTTAGTTTCCCCATTAATGTATTTCAACAGATTTGTTTTGACCAAATATATATATAGTATCAATTAAGCAAAAATATCACTTGGGGAATCTATTGTAATTATTCAGGGGCATCAATGTAAGGGGTATATATTTGTAATGAATTTGTATTTATAGAATATTTAGTTAGTTTCCCCATTAATGTATTTCAATAGATTTGTTTTGACCAAATATATATATATATATATATATATATATATATATATATATATATATATATATATATATATAGTATAAATTAAGCAAAAATATCACTTGGGGAATCTATTGTAATTATTCAGGGGCATCATTGTAAAGGGTATATATTTGTAATTAATTTGTATTTATAGAATATTTAATTAGTTTCCCCATTAATGTATTTCAACAGATTTGTTTTGACCAAATATATATATATATATATATATATATATATATATATATATAGTATCAATTAAGCAAAAATATCACTTGGGGAATATATTGTAATTATTCAGGGGCATCAAGGTAAATGGTATATATTTGTAATTAATTTGTATTTATAGAATATTTAGTTAGTTTCCCCATTAATGTATTTCAACAAATTTCTTTTGACCAAAGTAAAGTCTGCATTGCATTTTCAATTAAATCTAGATTGTGCATTGTTTGACACTTTCAAAATGATTTTCTTTATATTTAGGTTTTGAACCTAAGAACTGTTGCTAAATGTGGGACAATCCCATTATTGAACCCCAACCCATGTTGATTGTAGTGTGGTCATCCTCATCCCATTTATAGATGAAGGTAACAAGTGTCATCATGTCACAATTCAAAAGTGGACGTGATGGCACTAGTCTCCACTAGGGCTGGGCATTCGGTATTTCGGTTCGGTTTCAGTTTTTTTTCGGCTTTTTCGGTTTTCAGTTTTTATACAACGTGTACCGAATATCGAACAGAAATAATTCGGTTCGGTTCAATTTTTATTATTTTGGTTCGGTTTATGTTATTTCGGTTCGGTTTTTGTTAGTTCGATTTTTTTGTTATGGGCCTGCTTAGTGGGCTTTTTAAAATTTTGTAATTTTTTTGTTTATTTTATTTATATTTATATCTTTTTACTTATTTTACTTTGTTTTTTAAATTATTGTATGATGAAAAGTACTAACTACAAAACTGCCGTTATCAATTATCATTGAAATTTGCCCTTGTTAATAAATTATAATTAAAATACTACTAAAAGTGTAAAAGCCAATAAATTATAAATTTAAATTAAGTACTACTAAAAAAGCCTTGTGAGTAGTTCCAACTTCCAAGTTCCACACTTGCTGTTATCATTGTTCTTTTTTTTCTTTCAAAAAGTAACACACAATTACACAAATAGGCAAAGAGCTGTGATACAAATCTCTTTAACATTATTTTAAAATACCATAGTTTTACTCAATGAATGTAGGGCAACTCAATTACACTATCAACCTTTAATTTCCTAAGGAAACATTTAAATCCATTTTTATCCCCCTCAAAAATCGAATCAAAATGAATGAATCCTCAGAATAATACGAAATGATGTGGCAGTTTTAGTCCAAAATGGCACTATCAAATAGGCCAAAAGGCACTAACAAGTAACAAGTAACAATTTAACAAGTAAATAAACTTCACTACACTTCACAAATACAGTAATCAATTGATCATGCCATTACACAACAACACAATAACAATCTAATAAGTAACAATAATGCACCAATGTAGTTTTCATGAGACCACTTTCAAGTTTCAAGTGCCAACAATAACAAACAACAATAATGAGCAACAAACAATGTAGCCTCTTCCATGAGACCACCTTCAAGTTTCAAGTGTCAACAATAACAAACAACAAACAATGTAGCCTCTTCCATGAGACCACCTTCAAGTTTCAAGTGTCAACAATAACAAACAACAAACAATGTAGCCTCTTCCATGAGACCACCTTCAAGTTTCAAGTGCCAACAATAACAAACAACAATAATGAACAACAAACAATGTAGCCTCTTCCATGAGACCACTTTCAAGTTTCAAGTGCCAACAATAACAAATAACAATAATGAGCAACAATGTAGTTTCTTGACTTTCTTCCATGAGACCACTTTGAAGTCTCAAGTGCCAACAAAATTACCAAAACACTAACAAAACTTGGTACTTTACACCTTTATTCATTGTCTCGACTTTGGACCTTTTAAAATAAAATTAAATGTTAGAATACTACTTTTAAGATTAAAAAAAATGATATGATTAAATAAATGACGTATTAAACTCACCACTATTAAATACTTGAGACTTGCAAGCCAATCATAGATCAACAATGGAAGAGTTTCTTCCACTATTTGCCATCTCTATAAATAAGAAAATCAAATATGTCATACAACACAATAAGTCTTTTATTTTTTCCAAAAACAAATAAAAAATAAAAAGTCTTACCAAGTTCAATTTTTTCAAGAAATTCCAAACTTTCTTCAACACAAATAGGCTTAGTTTCTTGTCTAAGCCAATCTTGAACACAAATAAGGCATTGCACACATTTGGGAGTCAATGAACTTCTAAAGGGATCAAGAATATGACCACCCGTGCTAAATGCACATTCCGATGCCACACTCGACATAGGAATAGCCAATACATCTCGAGCCAACTGTGAAAGTATAGGAAATCTAGGAGAATTAACTTTCCACCAAATCAAAATATCAAAATCATCAGATTCAGGCTCTTGGTCTTCAAGAAGATATCTATCCAACTCAGATTTAACACCTAAACTTCCAAAATCTTCCTTTTGTTTCTTCATGTAAAACTTAGTTCTCAAAAAAATTATTTTCACATTTTGAGAAAGACCATAAGTAGATGAATCAGAGGAGTCAGATGAAGATGATTGATTTTTAGAACCTTTTGCATACTTACTTACATAGATCGCAAACAAATTCTTTAAGTAAGCATTTACTTCATTATTCACTATCTGTCCCTTTTCTTCCCCAAGTAATTCTTCAAGAGCAAAACTAACATACATAAATTTATTGTGTGGATCCAAAACAGAAGCAATAAAAAGCATTTTGTTCATCTTTTCAGGAGTACCCCAATATTTCTTGAACTTTTCTTTCATCACCGAAGCCATTTTACTCAAATCAACATCATCACTTGTCATACATACTTTCAAGTATGCATCAAGATCACATATATCCTCAAAATGAACATTACAAGTAACATATCGTGAACCTGAAACTTTCAATGTGAGCTCATTAAATTTTTCAAGAAACTTTGTGATATTCCTCACATTAGCCCAATCCTCATATTGAATTGAACCTGCAATACTTCCATCTTCACACACATCAGTAGCAAGAAAAGAATTAAAATTACCATCATAAAGATCAAACCTCTCAAAAGCCTTTTCAAATTTTTCTGCCGTGTCCAACATCAAATATATGGAATTCCACCTAGTAGGCACATCTAAAGACAACATTTTATCACATTCTATTTTTTGCATTTCAACTCATTTCAAGAAGTTTCTTGTCCTTGTAGAAGATGATCTAACATATTTCACCATTTGTCTCACCCGTTTGATAGAAGGACCAATTTCTTTCAAACCATCTTGCACAATTAAATTAAGTATGTGAGCCATACATCTCACATGGAGATGCTTACCTTCCATCATATTAGTTCCCCACATATCTAATTTTTTGGACAAC